GATTGTAAACCAGTATCTTTACCCCTAGCAAATCATTTTAAACTCTCATCTGATTTCTTCTCTAAAACTGATGATGAATTTTTTAGAATGTCTAAAATTCTCTATGCCAATGCTATTGGACCTGTTATGTACTTAATGATTTGCACCAGACCCGATTTAGCTTATGGTATTAGTGTTCTGAGCAGATTTATGGGAAATCCTGGTGAAAGTCACTGGGAAGCTTTAAAATGGCTCATGAAATATTTAAAGGGATCATCCAGTTTAGGCTTAATGTTTAAAATGAATAAAGATGGAGTAATTTTAAGAGGATATACCGACTCTGATTTTGCTGGAGATAGAGATAATAAGAGATCAACTTCATCTTATTTCTTTACTTTGTGTGGTACTGTTATAAGCTGGAAATCTCAACTGCAAAAGATTGTTGCTCAGTCCTCTACTGAGACAGAATATATTGTTGCCACTGATGCCATTAAAGAAGGCATATGGTTGAATGGTCTCTTGAGTGAACTTGATTTTATTTATTCTAATCCTATCTTATTCTCTGATAGCCAGAGTGCTATTCACTTAAGTAAGAATCATATGTTTCATGATAGAACGAAACACATTGATGTTAAATATCATTTTATAAGAGATGTTATTTCTAAAGGATTACTTAAGATTGGAAAAATACCTACTTTAAACAATCATGCTGATATGGGAACAAAAGTAATACCTTTAAACAAAATTTCTAAACTGTTTAAAGTCATTATCTGTTGATTCACTGCATTGATTATACATGTACAAGGAGTAAGTGAAATTATAAACTGCTGATAAAGTTTCTGTCGCACTATTGGCCATTTTTGAAAGCAAGGTGGAGATTGTTAAATTTTGAACTCTGGACGTATCTGATTATAGAAGTGTGCTTTCAAAATTAAAGAGAAAGTCGTGTTTGTGTTTTGGCTACTATTTAAGTTGATACCTTAAACTGGATTGCAACACGTGGAGCCAGGGTGACCGTTGGATGAAGTCCTAGAAGCTTCCATCTTGATATACACACTTGGCTGAAACGTTTGGCATTACCTGTCTCTCACCCTAGACCTGAAATGCTCTCTTCGACTGAAACCCTTCTTCTTCTTTCTTCGTAAGTTTAGGGGTAGTCATATAGTTGATGTTAGTAAGTGTAATCTGTAATAGTTTAGATCGAAGGCTTACTGTATTGAACTGAGTCATCTGATGTAAGAATCTAAGTGATTCATGAGAGCTGTAGACTTTGTATCTGATCGAAGTGGTTTGGGTGAGATCTAGCTGAAAATTTTTGGATCTGTGTAATTCTTCAACAGATAAGTCTCCGTAACTTGGTTCTCGTAATTTCTTGAACAATATTTGTATCTTGGCTGTCGATTTTGGCTTTATAGTGTAACAAGAGCTTTATATATTTATAATGGATGCTCAACAGAGGATTAAGCGTTAGAAGCGGTAGCCGAATCTATGGGGCTAAGGCCGAAAAAATCCTTGTGTTGATTTTCTTCATTTCTGCACTTTATGGTTATGTTCATGTATTGATTGTTTAGGTTCTTATTTTTATTCTAATCCATACTTGTTCGTTCGTCTTTTCAGGCTGCCTGTGATTTGGTCTCTTTTGAAACCCAAAACGTTGTTGCCATTTTTTGTCCAAAGGTTTACTCCCTTTCTGACGACATATTGCTAATCGTCTTTATCTTCCATTAAAAAGTATATGATGCTTCAAGAACTACATGTTTGAAATTTTAATGTTATTTTTGTGTCTAGATTGGACAAGTTTTGATTACACTTCCAGGTCACAAGGCACATGTTAATTGCACTCATTGGTTGCCAAGCAACAAGTTTGCATTTAAAGGTACAATCATTAAGAAAAATTCTGCCCAGAACATTTCCTTTGTGTTGGTTTTTAAGCGTTAGAATTGGGTATTCATGTAGTGATTTGGGGATGAGAAAGGTTTTACCTTGAAAAACGTATGAATTAATTGAAAATTTTGAACTTTTTCTGATAAATGGATCAAGTATTTTGTAGCTTATGCGGTGAATGTTGGTTCTGCATATGCAGCTAAGCATTTGTAAAGGCACTACTTTGTCAATCAAAACTTCTTCTTCTAGTCTTGTCTCTGTTCCATTACTAATTACCTTTGTCAATTAATTACTGTTAGATAACTGTGTGTGAGGAGAGGGTGATTCTTTTTTGTTCGTACAACTTTTGTCATTCACCACAATAATATTTATAGAAGGAGAGCTTCGTACTGACTGATAACTCTCTGTGTAAAATTTCTTCACTTGTCCTAATTGATTTTCTTTTTTCTGTTACAATATAATCTGTATTTTATTTACAACATCAATACTGTCAGATGGCAGTGATTAGTGATTATTGGAAACAAGGCTTAGTTTCTTCTTCTTGTTGTATTGTTATGTTCACTTTAACATTGGTCATCATGGATCAGAGAGAATGTGTTGAACAGTTTACAAGGCCATCTAGTAAATGGCAATATATTCTGACTCTTGATTGTGACGAAGGAGCATTTGGCAGATTGACAACATGCATGCTAGATATGACTCAGCAATAGTTTGTTCATCTTCTTTTGCAGGTGAGTTTGTTTATTCCTCATATGGTCATTTTTAATTTTGCATTGCAGGGTGATAGTATCGTATTGTGCAGGAGCTAATATGTTGCAATTTTATGGTGTGATTGGCAAATAGTTGTCTGATTGGCAATAGGAAACATGCCAATTCTAAACAGACAAGTTTTACCGTTCTTTAATTCTTTCCAGTACCTGATATTTTTATTCTCCCTAAATACATTTTTATGTTTGTTTTACTAAGAAAAGATAATTCCTAGTAGTCTTTGTTGGTTGTTTGTGGACACAACTGAGCAATGAATTTGAAGAACAAATGATAATGTGAGTGATTAAAAAGATCTACCCTTCTCATCACCGAGGATGAGGTTTTGATACTCACATTCCTATTGGCAGAATACACAAGGAACAGATGAAAAAATTGCAGGCGGAAATCCAAGAAGTGCACTTGCTTGATGCTGCAAATGAGGAGATTGATACTCTTCTGCAGAATGCTAAATACCTATTTCAGAAGATTCATGGTGGAACCTGAAGGTAAGTTTAGTATGATCAATGTTTCTTATCCTTGATAAGGGGACTGATTTTAAGCTGATAAACTTTGGTACATTTAAGACATTGCACCTTTTCATGTCAGTGTGAACTGAATTCTTTGCAGGCCCTTGCTTGGATAGACTGTTTTCAGTATTTCAAGGGTTGATTCTTGCAGAAATAACATTCCTAATACTTGGCTTTTGTAGAATGTATATCTGGGATGGCTTTTTATTTTTTATTTTTTTAATAAACTGGAAGGATAAATCGTGCTGGTATGGATCTAAGGGTCAATATATTGACAGTTGAATTTAGATTTGGAACCTTTGCTGTCAGTGACTTCTGCATGTCTCCTTCTGAATATTGAAATAATGAATATGTTGAAATTAGATGTTTAAATAATTAAAGCCTAACTGTAAAGCTGGTTTGCAATTACCGAGAATGAAGTGCTTAATGCAGAAGTACTGAATGTAACAGATTATGCCAACACATAGAATTTCTCATTATGTTGAACTGTTATTTTGAGTCACTTAACTATCCAATATATGTTGTGTTCTATTCATTTGACTACAATTAACTGCAAGTACGATTGTTATTATCCTGCTACATGATGGCATTCACTGGAAGAACATACATTCATGTTGGTATGGCTTTTATGACAGAGAGATTCTCTTTCATTTAATTTTTTAGATTCCCTGCCCCAAGTTGGAATTCTAGGAGCCCAAGTCAAGCATTTTGCCAAAATCAAATCTCATTATTGAAGTTTAATTTCCTTGGATTCCATTGAACTCGGGATTATTTATCCACCTATTTACATCCATGATCAAGGGAACTATCTTTCTCGTTGATGAAATGCAACTTCTAAGATTTTCCATCGCCGCCTTTAGTTAGAAGGTTGAACTCAAAAAAATTTCTTCAATTGATGTAAAAATTATAGCGCTTATTACTCCAGTTATTATACAGTATCACTATGTTATTAGAGTTTCTCTCTTTCAGCACATGTTAGTATCAGGTATGCAACATGCTAACATGTCAATGCTTCCTGTTTTTTCATGTTGCTAACTATTTTCGGTTCTAAGTTTCAGTCAATCATTCTAAGGTTTGTTGCAAATGTGAAGGGGAGAGATTACTGAAATCTTATTTTTGCTTAATTATTATTAACAAGTACGACCGACACTTTATAGTACTTCCCAATTGCATACAAGTGGTCAACTTCTTCCATAGACTTGCTCATACATATAAGGTGAAATCTTCCATAAACTATGACTTTGGAAGCAAATGTGGCCTATGCTAGGACAACAGTTTCTACTGCAGCGGATTGGATAATTGGCTCAAATTCTCCTCCTCCTCTTCTTCTCATATCTCATGCAGGGCTTCTGTAATATTATGAATGCTATTTAGAGCATAATCTGCTCTTGGCACCAAAGTTTCTCTCCCCACCTGCAATTCATACTTTATGGCATTAAAATAGGTCAGCGAAAAATTGGTTAATTTGACGTTGGGAAATTCATGAACTCACGACGACTGTGTGAAGTCCAGCAGCTTTTCCATTGGCAATGTTGCGCACGCTTTCCTCAAAAAAGTGTGAAAGAGAGAGGAAAAAAAAAGAACGAGCTTTTATTTACTATAACAATATGTTTCATATACGGTAACAGACATGAGTAAGACACGACTGGACATTACATTAATAAGATTTTTGGCATGTTGGCTAACATGTTTGAACTTCTTTGTTAGAATATTTTCGAAGTGTTACTTTTAATTTTTATATGCTTAGCCAAACATGCTCATTTTGCACTTGATACTACATAATACTATCCCGTCCACCATTCTAAACATGCCATCACAGTTTAGGCAAATACTTGGTTCATTAAGTAGGTAAGTTTTCAGTAATTACTGTTTTTTTGGTGGACCACCATTGGCAATGGCAATGTCAGCTTCCATTGCTTGTACAGAAGGTTTACACAGAACTTGTGTTTCAACATTTTCAGTTTGTACTTCATTCATCCCTTCTATGCTTGAAACAGGTTCCAATCTCATAGGAGGGTTAAGAGTTTCAAAGCACATGACACCTTGGAAACAATCTTGCAAACACAACCTGCTGAAAACTTGACCTGCATGAGCTTCATCAGCATTGGTGAAGATCTAAATCCACAAAAACATACAATTAGAATTAAAATTGTGTTCGAGAAAAAAATATGCTATAATAATTCGTAAAAGATAAAAATTCATGCATTCGTGCTAATACTCTTTGTTGCTGGGGGCATGGAAAGCAGGAGATTGCGCAATACTAGAAGGGGTTTTAGCAACTCGTATGGCAATGTTTCGTGGACTTGAGCATAAAACTTGTCATTCTTATCAAATTCATAGCAAAGTGCCTGCAAGAAGCGGCACATCGGTATTAAATACCAATGTTTTGAAACTCGATCCAGGCATTGACCCGAAAAAGACGAAGGATCAAAAGGTCGAATCGGTTATAATAAATTAAGGAATAAATATACCAAAAGTTTGAGAAAGTACTTTAATTTTTAAAATTAATTAATGTATGTAGCTAAGAGATTTTTAAACTTTTGGCTACATTTAATTTTCACTGTATCCACTTCTAATCTCAACAAAAATGAGACAATAGATATAGCTAAAGTTTCAATATATAATTCATGGACCGTTTTAGCTCATGTTTAGGTTTCATTTTTTTTTTTATTATTATTAAAAACATAAAAGTTACTTTTCAAGATTTAATTTTAACCACATATTTTAAGAAAAGAAATAATTAATTTTAAGGAACAAATTTGAAATTTCTTATACAACTTTTCAAATAAAAATAGCACTTCATTCCTTGAAGTATTGTGGAAATTACTCACCTAACTTATTTTTAATAAATATTTAAACAATACTTTGTAACATTTTTTTTTTCAATTATAAAATCGTAGTAAAAATAAAACATGAAAAATTAAATAATCAAAAAGGATAATAATTTAGGTTCGTCCTTACATGAATACACAGACATGGAGACATATTACAAGACCAAATTCTGACTTTCAATTTCTAAAATTGATCACTAGAATTACAAACATTCAAATAACACATTCTAATTTAAAGATTTTATATTGATTTAATGACAATTTATATACATAACCAAATGCGACTTTTTGACAAATCTGTGAATGAAATAAAACTTACTAAAAAATATATTCAATTATGTGACATTATCGTGAGATTTCGGCTTCAAATTTGAAAATATTTGAACCAGATTATGTGAGTTCTCACTTCCAGTTGAGTGAAGAAATTACAGTGTCTTTAAGTTACGGACGCCATTGATATTCTTTACCCATCCTCGGACCTCGATTATTTGAATTTCTTTTCTTTTTTCTAGAAGATACATTAAATGTGAGGCATGAAGTGTTCATTTTTTTATAAGATTTCAGTTACAAATTATTATTTGAGTTCTATTATTAGAAGTTAGTATTTTTTATTATAAATATAAAAAAAAGTATTGTTAGTAATTTAAACATTACATAGTAAAATATGAAATAATATTTTGTAATGATGCATATACGAATTTTTCCATGAAGTATTCCCAAATGATTTTAAAAACTTAAAAGGCTTGAAGGGTATCCATTTTCAATATCAAGCAATCCCACATCAAAACTAGGAAGAAAAAAGGTTAAAGAAAGAGGAAATTACATGGAAACGGGTGTTTAAAGTTTTAAATTCAAAAATTAGGGACCAAATTTCATTCTTCAAAAATCGGGTGATATATAAAAACTCTTAACCCTAATTTTTCACACACTCTCTCTCTCTCTCCTCGCCTCCCCCTTCTCTTTCGTCTCGTCTCTGCCATCCACCTCCCATCCCCCTCCCTCTGCTGCGACGTGAAATCGCGAGTCGCAGCAGCGTGAGACGCTGCTGTGACCCCACTGCAGCATCGCGACCTGGCCCACATACACTCCCCCCAACAGGGGGGCGCCACATGTACATTATGGGCACTATTATAGTGCTCATAATGTACATGTAGCATTATTCAAAATTAAATAAGAGATGTGCTACACGTAATTGGAGAATTACTCATTAAATAATCAAGGAAAAAACATAAGAAGTGCCATTAAATTAGGTACAATCATTGACAAGAGTTGAACCTTCTATATTCTTGCGACAAACCATATTGATAACTAAGCTCAATGGGTACAATGTATCATCCATATCTGATAGGAAAACAAACTCAATATTACAGAAAAATACAACCCTTCACTATTTTTTTTAAATTCACATCTTCCATTTATTGATTTTTCGAATTACTTCAAACATTATAATCTCAATTAGAAGAAAAATAACATACCAAATACTAAGCAATCATACATGGCTCCCAGAGACAGACCTGAGCGTGCGTAAATTGAGCATTGTNTATATTACATTAATATTTTTTTAGTTTAGCATATTATTGAAAAAGAAATTGTTTTTTCAAATTTTATACTATCTTACTTTCAAAAAATTAATTAAAATTAAACTATCTATTTTACCACCCTAATCCCAAATGCGGGCATTTACTTCATTAACCAATTACTAATCCAACAAGATAATAAATAACTCAAAATCTCAGTGATTAAAGTGAAGAGTGAAAATCTAACCCCAGGTCCCTCTTCACCATTTCCCTCTCTCACACCTTTTAACCCACAAAGAACGGTCCAACAAAAAGGAGAAGAAATTGGACCATAAATCTTTGTTACTTGCTCTACAATAGTACAATCTACATAGTAATATCACAATTTTAATAATTGAGAACATCTTATTGTCAGGCTTAAGGAATATGAAATTAATAGTATGCATATCAACAACATAACTACTTGGATTGATTTACGTGCTAGCGAAAATTTTGTAAAATCTTTTACCAAAAGAAACACATGAGGCTTTTGGTATATTAACTTATTTGAAAAGATTGGGTTGATTTCCAATTACATTTATTGTTTATAAAATACTATTGACAATTTATGTTACTGTTGCATCTGCTGAAAATGTTTGTCAAAATTAAAGTTATTAAAATCTTATTTGTGATCAACATGTTACAAGAACGATTGAATGAGCTAACTTTGATATCTGTTGGACAAAATTTGCTAGAATATATAGATTACGAAAGTTTAATTAGTGAGTTTACTTAAAGAAATGCGAAAGAATATCTTTACTTGATTTGTTGTATTATAAGGTTTACACGTGGTATTTAATATTTCTAATTTCAAAAACTGCTTTTATGGAATTGCATGAAGAGTTTATTGGCTTTGATGGTTTTTGTTGATTAAATATGAATTTTGATGAGGCTCAAGATGATCTTTTGAGATTTACTTGTACTTTTCTTATTCAAGACATGTAAAATAATAAATAGATATTTAAATATCATATTTTCGCAATGAAATAATATTATTGAAACATATTTTTTTTCTAAATATTTTTTTTTTAATTTCGTGAAAGGAGACACCATTTAAAATGTCGCAAATGGCACCTAAAATTTCAGGGCCGACCCTATTGGCTCCACTGGACCTTCCAACAACTTCCATTCTCAGTTGAAGAAAACAAAAATTCTTCTTCTTTTAAACTAAAGCCAGTATTAACATTTAGAGAAGCAAAAATAAGGGCAAGATTAACTTACAAAGTACAATTAAAATCAATTAATGGTATTTCCAAGTTTTGATTAATTTGTTTAACAGATCAATCTCGACTTAGAATACACCTTTTTTTACATCCCGATATCTATAGAAAGTTTATTGCAGAATATATGTGCCACGATGAAATCTATGTATAAGCCTGGGAATAATACATATGCAGAAATTTTGATGAAAATATAATAAAAAGGATTGCTAAAGTATTTTATTACCTTATACAATGGTGAAGACACACTGGTTTAGAATAAGTGATTATGAGCCATTGAGGGGCTATTTATAATTTTATACTAAAGGAAAGTGAGAGTAAATGGATATAATTATGGAAGACAATTATACCATGCAACTGCTGACAATATGAGCATTTTTTTTTTCCAATTTGTGGGAGATTTTTTTCATGATCGTATTGGTTGGTTTTCTTGATTGTTTTAACCTAAGTCACATGTATCACATAACATAAGGAAATAAACAAACGTTCGAAGTTTTTTTTTTAATTATTAATGTTGAGCAAGGTGTGAGAAAGAATCTGATGGGTACATTTCCACTTGTCTCAAGGTTTGATTCATTCATTAAAATTTGGATTTTCGATGAGAATATTTGGTAGTGTTATCATTAGGGTACAATTTCTATTACACAAATGGAAATAATTTTGATAGGGTATGTTAATATATTCATATTCCATAAAGAAATGGACATTTTAGGTTGCTTCAGCTCCTTGGAGTAGTGGAATTACGAAAAGAAATTCATGCGCTTGGGTTTTTGTTGAAATTTAACCATATACTTTTGTATTATTAATACGTATATACATTTAGGATTTATATATAATTAAATAGCAAGAAGTGGCACCTACCGAGTATAACGTGTAAAGTATGCTGAGTCGATTTAGAAGAATAGCATCTCTTTTCAATGCTAGCACGAAAGGTACTCGAAGTAGTGCGACCAACCTACTCCCACTATGAACCTCTTGGTTCACTTGGGATAGGTACATCCTTGCTTTCGAAGCCAACCCAACAACACATTTCAGATGGGAGCGATGCTGGCGCAAAAGGTACTCAAAGGAGTAGTGGGACCAACCTACTCCCACTCCGAACCTCTTTGTTCACTTGGGATAGGTACATCATTGCCTTCGAAAGCCAACCCAACAACACATTCCAGATGAGAGTGATGTGAATTTAGATTGGACGCGAGCCGAACGTTTAGAAATGAGACATTTTGACCACGCCAAGTCAATTTTAGGTTATCACATAGGAATATTCCAAATAGCAGTGATTGGATATGATCCCAGTTAAGTCCATTGTTGATAATATGTAAGCTTGTATGACAATACAACAAATACAAATAAATCTAAAGTTATGTCGAGCCATGGTAAAATCCTTATTTTATACTTATCATAGACCAATTAATATACAGTTATACTTCCAAGTTTTACTCCAGACTTTGATCTAATTAGTTGGCTCAAAACATTGCAATATAATATTTAACTGTTTGCTCCACTAAACTAAGAAAAAGAAAGATGAGTTATGTACCACAATCCTGCTTCAAATATAATTACTTCCATGAGACCAACATAATTCAGTCTGACCAATGAGTTGGAATGGAAAATGAAATATTCATATTTGAGGGGCTCTCTCTTGAACCGATATATATGGAATTTGCATTAGCAAATCTAGATATTTCTGCAACTGCTGAAGACTACACTCTCTCGTCCTAATTTAGAATAAAGCATGGCTTGCACGAGAAAGGAAAAAATGAGCTGTACAAGTACCAAATGGAGCAAGCATAAAGCATTACAATAACTTTGGTTTCAAGATAAATATAAAGGTTTGACAGTTTCACACTACCTACCAATTATGAGAAGAACAAGGTATCTTGCAGCATAAAGAATCAATCAGTGACAAAGAACCAATAAAGATAAAGATAAACCATAGGATTCAATCAATACAATTGTATTTGGAAAAAGCAGATAAATATGCACGTGTAAAATCTTAATAATCCATCACAATACATGTCAAGATCACAATCTCCATTATGTAAGAAATATTCGGAAGAAAGAAGACAATCGATAAGCTGTAATTGCACTGGCTAATTAACTTCTACGAGCAATGCAATCATAACAATCTTTATCCATCACTTAAACTTGTAAATTCACGAAATATACCTCATTGATGAACTTAATTCAATTGCAATTATTCCATAAGAACAGAAAAATTAGGTTGACTAGAAGTAGAGAGGGGGGGAACCACTATATTTTCATGCACAAGAATATGGAATGCTATCTTTTAGTACCCCCAAGTATCTAGCTGTAATTCCAAGAAGCCAACATGAAAAAGGAATTTGATAAGTTCCCAAAATGTGTGCACCACATAAGAAGTATATGATGAAACCATGTGCAACTAAACTTGATACAAGGAAAAAAAGGTACACAGGATAAATAGAATGGACAGTGAGAAAGAATAAAAATATGCCAATAGTAGCATAATCCCACCAGTGAACTATATTGGCAACTTGAGTCTTGTCCATCTATCATCAAACATATTGTAATGTATTTCATAACGGTAAACCAAAAGAAGAAAGCAGAGGTGCCAATCAATGCTCCTAAGTTTTCTGATTCCTTCAAATTTTGCAGTATAAGGATCCTCGATAAGAAAACAGGAAAGACCTATATGCAATTAATCCCTAATTAATGGGGAGGGGGTGGGGTCAGATCTGCTGGGTTGCGCTGTTTATAATTTGTAGCTCTTTAAACAAGTTTCACAAATAATGTGTCGAACTAACAGAGAATATATACGTATGGATGGCAAGCATCAACCGGAAGTAACTATGGTATACACTATACATCTGATCTAAAATCTTAGTATACTATTTTTTACATTTATTATATGATAACTAGTATAGATCGACAATGTAACATGAGAGTTTTGAGCTTTTACAGCAAGATATCAGAACACGTCAACTTTTACTAATAACAGCAATATGACATACACACGAGAAGAAGCAAAAAGAGAGATGATTAGATTTTCTTATTACATATCACAAACCAATAAGAATAACAAAAAGAGACTCTGTAGTGTAAACTGAAACAACATACCAAACCCATTCCTGCAAAATTGTTTATCCTTCCCAAAACTTACTTGTCATGGCTGTGAAGTTTTAAGATGCTTGATGTTCTCGATGCTGCAGTGATGCATCAGGTAACACCATTGTAGGGGCTGATGACATGGTCTGGTACTGTGCAGCCAACTGTCTAGGATCAGCATATGCATAAGCGTAATTAGAAATGGCAGCTGAAGGAGGAGCCGTTGATTGAGATGGATGATGAATTTGAGTGTAACCAACATACTGGGGCTGGTTCTGACCGGAAGGAACTTCGACTAAAGGTGAAGATGCTGCAGCTGCTGTTCTGTATACACCAACAGCCATATCAGATTTTGAAACAGGAGCATTTCTGGTCTGACTGTAAGCTGCAGATGGAGGCATTGCCGGCCGAGGAGGTTTCTGGAGGTGACTAGTAGGGGCAGGCGACGCTATTTTACCATAACTTGGTTGCTGCACTGGTGAATTATAATTTTGGGATGGTCTAGCAGGCACGAAATAAACTGGGTACTGCTGCTCAAGTGCATAGTGGTGTGGGTGATATCGTTGCTGGGAAGGGTATACAGGGTAATCCGACACAATTGGCACTTGTCCAGCAGGGATATAATGCGTATTCGAATGAATAAACTGTTGTGGCTGATGCAATTGAGGATTATTTTGGTCAAACTGGCCCGGTAACACATAAAAGGATTCCCGAACTTTGTTTTGATCCTCAATCTTCAGATCAACTGGATCGGCAGAAAGCTTACTATTTCCAGATTGAATTTGTACAATAGGTTCTTTATAAATAATTTGCCCCTGCCTAAAGAATTGATTTGCTACACTTTCATCACTGTTCGATAAAACCATCAAAATCCCAATTTAGATCAATTTGAATATATTTTACTCATAAGTACACAAATAACCGCAGTAAAAAAAGAAAATTCTACTAATAAGTAAATGGGTACCTTGGAACTGAGTCTGGGGAACGCAAATCAATAGGTCCAGCTTGTTTCTGTTGAAATTGAGGAAATTGCTGTTTTTGTAATTGTATCTGTACCTGTTGTTGCGGCGCTTGTTCTGGTTTCTTATTCCCACCGTGATCCGATGTCTCATCTTCGGACAAAACCCGATTCACATAATCCCCACCAACGACAACCGGAACCGCCGAAACCACCGTCCTAGCCGCCACACTAGTGGCTACAAAACCACCAACTTCCTCCTGCTTCTGCGGTAAATTAACATTTCCACCAACTCCAAAATTTATCTGCTGAATTTGTTCCTCAATTCCCAACCCTCCGACTTTCTGATTCTCCTCGATATGTACACTTACCGGCGGGAGGTTCGCCGTGGACGGAGAACTCGAGGTAGACCCAAATGACGAGGAGGTTTCTAGCATAGGGGAATCCGGGACGGAATGCACATCGTGATTAAGACAATTAACATTCTCATTCTCATTTCCATTTCCACCATTCTTCGACGTCTCGATTTGGACTTCCACATATTTCCCTCCGACAGCTCCCTTATTAACAAAATCATCCTCCAACCCAAGAAGGCAATTAACCAAAGAAGATTCAGAAAACCCACGATCACTAACACCACCAGAAATATTACTAGCCTTCCCATTCAACGCATCTAGAAACCAGCCCTCCGATTTAGACGATGATGTCTCAACAAGAAGCTGTTCAATACTCGAACTCTTAGGAAACAAAAACAAGCGGAGGCGACCAGGTTTCGACCCACTCGCAGTATTAAGCCGGTCGTATTCATCAATCATGTTATCAAAATCTTCATCTGTAGTAAGAGAAATTAACGAGTCCAAGTCTTCGTTGGGGAGCTGGTATCTGATAGTGAAAGGTTCGTTGTTGAGGAGGGTTCTGGAGAGCCGGCGGTAGATGTCGGAAAATGAGTCGTTCCGGTCGATGACGACTATACGGGTGGTGCCACCGATGTAGCAGAGTGACTTGTCATGGGGACGGGGGACTATGTGGCCACCGTAGCTGCACATAAGGCGGAGCTTTGGAAGTTGGGGCGATGCAGGCGGGGGCTCATCCCAGGAGTTTTTCTGTCGGGAGTGGGGGGAAGAGTCTACGGAATTTTGGTGGGATTGCTGCGGTGGTTGGGCGGCGGCGGTAGGAAGCGGAGCAGTGGAGAGTGGTGGTGGGGACTCCATGGGGTAGGAGTTGGAAAAAGAGAAGGCTAATGTCGTGGTCCAGGTAGGATGATTATGTAGTTCCTGCAGACTCCAGCTATTTTCCAACTAATATCAAGAAATTTGTAGTCAAGGTCCTTAAACATTTATTCTTACAACATTTAGATCCTCATCTTTTTCTAGTGATCACATCCCCACACTTACTATATAGGTTCACTTGGATCCTTCCAAGATGGATACCGTCTATTTGCCAGCTTATTCTTAGAGTATTTAGATCCTCACCTTTTTCTGGAGATCGCATCCCCCCACTTACTATATAGGTTCACTGTGATTCTTTCAAGATGGATGCAGTCTATTTTGCCTTCAAATATACGTGAACATTTCTATTTTATCACACTGACATTAAATCTTATTTTTGTAGAATGATAAAAGGGTTACACAGATGAAATATTGGAGTTGGTGTAAAGGAAGGTTAACAAATTCATTTTTATTTACGGAATTTACAAATTATCAAGGATCTTGCTAATATGTTGGAACAAAAAGATGAGATCGTGCAAAGGCAAATAGTATCTTCAAAATAGAAGTGAAGTTTTGAAGAAATGACGACAAGATTAGTGTTTGAAGTCATGCATGTCAAGTGGTCAGTTGACGGCAAAACAAACAATATGACTAAAGTGCATCAATTATAAAATTTTGGGTATTCTATTGCGTTAAAATAAGAATGAGCATCCAAGCATCAATATTTGGCAACTTTGGTTGCAAATTTCCCACTGATTTAATTCTATATTATACCACTTAAATATTTATTGAATAATAAGCAAAGTTATAAATGTTTATATAATGGAATTTTAATGCGCATCTCTCATTTAATGCTAATAATTTATAAACAGTTCATGCATGTATGTATGCAAACAGTTTATTACAGATCCATAAACTTATTTCTTTGAAAGAATTATCATGCTGAAATATCAACAAAGTTGGAGTAGTCGTAACTCTAATAATTTTAGGGTCGGTTTGATAGGCCATTTCTTTTCCATAGAAAATGGAATTAAAATTCAATTTCTCACTTTTGGCATGTTTAATAGTCAAAATTTTCCATAAATATTTTCCTCACACCCCCACGTGGCTCCCTTTTCCATATTTTTGTTGAAATGGTTACCTCACCACTTTGGTGGGAAAATGGCTTCCAGCTTTTTTTTTCTTTTTTTTTCTTTTTTACAATGAAAACAAATTTTATGGGCAGTTAAAAAAAAATTCCTTACAATTTTCATAGAAAACAAAGTCAAACGAATACCAAAAGATCCAAAATTTCAACATTTTTTAAGTGAAAAATTATATCAATCAAGCACAGTTAATTGACAATTCCCAAGAAAACAATTTTAAACAATTCAATTTCCTGTAATTTATTTTCTTTACAACCAAATTCCATTCTGTAATCAAACGGACGCTTAGTATAATAAATTTTCATTCAGTATTCTAACATATATACAGATGAAAAAGGATAGTGTATCGAGTTGTAATAATTTCAATTTACTTAGCAAAGAATTGTGACATTATTTAATCATATTTTTAGTTTTTACTAAAATAAGAAAGTGGGAGAAATTAGATATGCAATAATTCATATATAGGATTAATTAAATTCAAAAATTGAAGAG